CCGCCCCGGCCCCGGACAGCCAGGAAGCAGCAAAGCCTGGGGCCAGATCCAGATCTGGGAGGGGGCCCAGGGCGGAGCCAAACACCATCACCCCCCACACCCAGGAAGGTCTCCTGTGGAAAAGTGGCCGCCATAGACAGAAAGTTGAAAATCACTTATCACTTATATGTGGGATATAACCCTAAAAGCAACAAATGAACAGGACAGAGACTCGTGGGCACGGACAATAGACTAGTGGTTACCAGAGGGGAGGGGGAGGACGGAAGGGGGAGGTAGACCAGGTAAAAGGGGTCAAGTATGTGGTGACAGAAAGAAATCTAACTATGCGAGGTGAACACACAATGGAAATATATACGTGGCTTACTGTGAAAACGCACAGCTGAAACATCGAATTTCGTTAACCAATGTCACCATAAAAATAAATAAATAAATTTATTAAAAAAAAAAAAAGAGATAAGAAAAGAAAGGTGGCCGCCAAGGTGAACAGATCTTGACGGTGGGCCCTCTAGCCAAAGGCCTGGGCTACTTTAGGTGCCAAGAGAGCGCCCCTGTGTGTCCACTGGTCGCTTCGCTTGGTGCATGCAGAGGGTGGGGCCTCTGAGTTTCACCCCAATACTGAGTACTGCAAAAGAGCTGAGACAGCGACAGCCCACCCAGTCCTCTTCGGGTGGGGAGAGGACTCAGTCCAGGGCACGTGAGGGGCAGGCAGCAGCCTCCCCCCGACCCCATGTGCTTCCTGCCCCGTGTCCCGCGGTTAACGGGACGCTCCAGGCTCTGGAGCGCGGCTCTGCAGCCGAGACAGCAGTGGGAGCTTGTGAGAGCCGGGTAAGCGGCTGGGAGGGCCAGCAAGCTCACCATGGAGTAGCCATACACGTGGATCTTCTTGTCCTGGCTCTGGTGGGAGATGCGCCCGCCTCCCAGGCACTCGCAGTCATAACCCTTCTTCTGCATCTCGCCAGATACCTTGTCGTAGATGTCGGCTGGGATGGGGAGGGCGGCTCAGCTCTCAGCTGTGGCTGCACTCAGGGCCCAGGGGGTCTGAAGCCCCAGCTCTGAGCAGCTCCTTCCCCAGCTCAGGAGCCCCTCCAGGCTAGGGAGGGATAGAAGGGAAAGGAGGTGCGCCTGGGCAGGTGCGCTGGGGCTCGCAGGGGTCGGGGGGTGGCAGCCCATGCCCCCAGGACCTCGGCTCCTCTGGGCCAGCCAGGGTCAGACCCCACAGGGGACCACCTCCCACGACGGCCCTCGGCCCCGCCCCACAGCGGCGGCCGACCCCGCCCATAGACGCCGGCGGCCCCGCCCAGCCCTCACCGTGGTACTCGGCCCACTTGTAGCCGCGCACGATCTCCTTGCTTTCCCCTGCCGGGGCTCCGGAGGGCGGCGCCGCGTGGACTCGAATCAGCACGTACTTGAAGACGCCGTCGGAGTCGATGTCCACATCGGGGATCTGGGCGAGGTCCGCGGCCGCCATGTTCCCCGGAGCGCGCCCGGCCCTGCGGCCCGCGGCCCTTCCCCCACGCGGCCCGGGCTGGGTCGACCGTGCGGGCGGGAGGCGGGCTCTGGGAGTCCGTGGCCAATCCCGCGGCGGCGTGCTGCCTTGGCCCCGGCCTCAGCCAATCGTGCCGCCGACCCGCAGCGCGGGCTGGCCAATCGCAACCCAGCTCCTTGCATCCTGAGACCACGTGGGTCCCACTTCACGGGAACGTGGAAACAGGAGGGGGTGGTGGTTAAAACCAGAGGATGGAGGAGTTCCTTCCCAGCGCGGTCTCAGGCTGGTGGCAGGCCCCTTTGGGGGGACTTAGGCGGCCCGTGAGGCCGGAGGAACGCGCGCCGGCTTTGACCGCTTACCCCACCGTGACGGAAGGCCGCCCTCCCCCGTCCCCGCACCGGGTCCGACGGCCGCCCTCCCCCGCCCCATCCACGCCCCCCCACGAGGCAGTGGTGGCTACATTCGAATTGCTTTACTTGGTTCGAAAAGCGCTCGCCCTCCAGAAACAATACCGGTCCAGGGTCCTTTCTGGCCGGCTGGCCCTCAGTCGCGGGGCTGAAGGCAGAAGCCCGATTTGGGAGGGCGCGAAGGCGGGTGGGGCAAGCGAGGCGCGTGGCCGGTACAATCGCGTGGGGCCGAGGCGGGCATACAGGCTTGTGGGGAAGGAGGCGTGGGGTCACAGCCAGGGGCGAGAGCTGGGAGCCGAGGCGTCACCATTTCATTCAATTAACAGCCCATTTCGGTCCCTATGTGGGGCTGGAATTCCAAGAGGGCCCTCGCGGGGACCCGTCCTTGCCCCTTCTCCGGGTCACTCGTTCTCTGTGGGGCCGGGGCCAGATGCACCTCGGGGGAGGGTGGGGATGGAGGGCCCGGAGCGTGCGCGCGCTCCCGAGGGCCGGAGCGAGCCTTTAGCCTCGCGTTCCCAGCTCGCAGCACAGGGCACCGCTAGAGCAAGCAAGCGCGGGCGAGGGGTTGTGCAGTGGTGCCCCCACCTCCGTCCCTGGCCAACTAGTTCGGTCCCGCATCTGCCCGCCCCCCCAACTGGAAAGGCCCTCTTCTGTCTCCCTACGCCAGCATCCCATCTCGCCTCTGCACCTGCTTCCTGCCTCCCTGTGAATTAGGGCTTGAGCTACCGTTTGCAGCCCTGCTTTGCCCTGGCACCCGCCTAGGGCCTTCCTGTGGGGTGTGGACAGGTAGTCGGACTCATGTCCAGCCAGACTTTAGCTCTG